CCACATGTATTTTTAAACATCATTTTAGATATGTTTTCTATTACAAAATTTCTTAGACTAGTCTAAGAGAAAAGTTTATGTAGTTCCCTTATTTAAAGCAAATCCATTTAAAATGGCCCTTCTATTGTAAAAGGCTATAAATCAGACTACATATTTCTACTCCAGTATCGTAAGAAACAATAAAAGGTTGAGCAAGTCATACAGAGTAAATCATTATAGCATCATCATCATTATCAATAAGCCACTCATGAAATCTGGTCTGGTCTTCTATGATATACTTCACAGAAAGAGAAATATATACAATCCTTTCTCTTATACAACGGACTGACTTAAGATTCTAAACAGATATAAATTATTTTCAGGGCTATTTCATTGTTGGAAATAAACAGTATGCTTACTTGTACAGCATGACAATTGAGATGAAAGGTTGGTGTTCACATTTTGTTCAGATATTTAACTTGAGAAACATGTATGAATAAAAAGTCCATTAAATCAGCTTCATTTTCTTTGACAGAATAACCCCCCCCATCACCACTATACTTATTCTCATTCCAACTATACCAAAAAACAAAACAAAACAAAACAAAACAAAACAAAACAAAACACCTGGACTAAAATGATGATTAAACTTTTAAGTAGAACGCTATAACCTTTAGGTAGAATTCCTTATGTAATATTTATGCTGGACTTCAGGTACCACAATTAAACGGAGCCATTTATTTCTTGATCTTTCAACAGATCACTCAATTTGAATGCTAACTTAGATAAATGTAACAACTGGTCTAAGACCATCAGTTTAAAAACTTTTTTTCAAAAATCTCTCACCTACAGAAAACAGTGATTAATTAGGATGCTTAAGGGTAGAATATCTTGGCTATCAGAAATGTTACGCTTAAGTCAGGTTAATTGGATTCACTTTGTAAGTACTATATCCCCAAACAGACTCTGATGGATCATTACTCTGAGGATGATTTACTCTGAATTGTACTTGATGCAAAAATTCTGGAAATATGGGAGATTCACACTGAATCTCCTGGATAACGGTCCCAGAATATTCCTCAGAATTAATTATCATTTGCTTAATTCTCCAAAAAGAGGTAAATATTAGAGGCTGGTTAGCTAGGCTCCAAAAAAAACCCAGTGCTTTATTCTAACCGGAGAGCAATAGTTAATTCCTTTCCACATTAAATTCTCAGAACCGTGACTGCATTCACACATCACGTATATGGGCAAAATTATTTTTTTAAACCAGGTAACCAAAACCTCCTAAATAGGAGAGGTTTTTTGCAAATGAATGGCTTAATGATCAGAGGTTAGGGGGAAGTGTTTAGAACAGTTTTTTAGTCCACAATCAGGCTTTGAGATTTAATGCAATAGCTGTCAATCTAAAACTCATTCGAAATTATTCTTCGCAGTCATATTAAAGACAAAGCCTGGCTCAAATATAAATGAAGTATAAAAGAAACATAAAAGGCTGCCATATAAAGCACTTTAAATATTAGCTGTAAAGGCATATCATATATAAAATGTGAAAAGTTTAAAAGTCTAAAATTCTGCATTTGACCCATAATACAAATGTTCTCTACATCATGAGATTCTATATTTAATATGTCTAACATAACAGTAACTATCATTTATTTAGTATATACTATGTGACAAAAATGGCGCTGGCCCAATTATGTACACATAATCTCATTTAATCCTGACAACACTTCTGCAAAGTAAATATTATCATCTGTTTAACAGAAAGAGGAAATGACATTCAATTTGTAATTACAAGTAAAAAGAAGAACCAGAGTGGGGATTCACAAAGTTCAGACTTCTAAACCTATGAATTTTCCGTGATTACCACATCACCCAGCTCAATAAAACTAGGTAGAGTCGATCCTCATTACTATTTGCAGGTTCCACATTTTCAAGTTTGCCTACTCACTAACATTTATCTGTAACCCCCAATTATTTTTTTAAGATATTATTTTAACGTGGGGCTCAAACTTACAACCCTGAGATGGAGAGTCGCATGCCCCTCGGAATGATCCCACTCCCAAATCAATTCTTGTACCATTCACACGGATATTCAGGAGCACTGAAAAATCTGTCACCTGGCACACATGTGCTTTCCCCACCAAGGTCACGTAAGACGACAGTGTGCATTCCTATTTCAGCTCTAATACTGTAAACAAGTGTCCTTTCTGTGGCTTATTTAGTGCCACGTGTTTCACAGTTTTGTGCTTTTTGTTGGAAATTCACGGTTTGCAACGAACCCCACACATGGTGAAGTGCTGACTAGGGTTTCTAAGCACAAGAAGGCCATGATGGGTCTTAAGGGGAAATACGTGTGGTAGATAGGCTTTGTGCAGGTATAGGTTAGAGTGCTGCTGGTTGGAGTTCAATATTAATGAGTCAACAATATATATTAAGTAAGGTGTTTTTAGACAGAAAGATACATAAAACAAGGTTATGTACTGATCAACTGATAAAAATGTCATGACTGGAGGCTCAAAGGAACTTAACCTGGTATTTCCCTTAGGAGCAATGGTTCAGTATTTGCTAATCAGCGTTCAGGGCAACTTTAGAACATAATTATGGTGAATAATTAAAAGTCCAACTGAAAACTTTCCATTAATATTTCAGTAAAAGATTCTTCTGTCGTGTCCTTCAAAGATCATCATTATAGCTGTGCAATCATTACTCATCTGCATAAGAGAAAGAAACCTTTTGTTGCCATTCTGTTTAATGGGTTGCAGCTACGTGTTTGACTTTGCTCAGAAAACTGACCTCTTACAACCAATCTGGCTTTGCAGTGTGAAAGTCTAAGGAATTAAATTTCAGTGTGAAAGTCTAAGGAATTAAATTTCATTTCTTATTACTGGATGTCATTGGTACTGTTTAAATATGACTGCTTTGTGAGATTATGATTTTTAAAATGTGATGGTCACATACAATACGGACAGTATGAGCAGCAACAACAACACTTAGCAGAGGGATTTAAAAATATCAGCACAAATTGGAACTCTTACCTTTCTTGCCCAAGTCAGATATTTTATTGAAAAAAAAAAATTACAGTACTTAAAAATCCAAACAAGGACAATTCAGGATTGAAAGAAAGAAAACCTGAAGGAGCCCATTGTCTTCAGTAAAATTTGAATACAAAAAAATGTAGACCAGGAAAACAGTTTATGGCCTAATGCACTAGGTTCCATGATAAACACACATATATAGTATATCTCCATCAAGTGAAACTTAATCACCTTTTTACAATTTAGAGAGGGAAGGCAGCTTTTACTATGGTTAAGCCATGTATCATCAATACCATGAAGCTAACCTATCAGATGTAATAGCTTCTATAAAATACCACAGTGAGATTGCAATAAGCCTAGAAAATGGGCTACAAATCCCAGCTATGCTCAAGCAAGCAGTGAACCAAAAATAAAAATAGGTAAAACTGAACCAAGAACTAGATAGCATTCATCTAGATTCATGATTGGTAAGGCAAAGTTCATAGGCCAAGGTTTTAAAGTGACTTATTCAGATCTAAAAGACAGTCATTATACAAAATAAAATAAAAGCATTTACGTAATTCAGAAAAGAAATCATGAATTTTTACTCCAAAGGACACAGCACAAGGAAGCTTACTTACAATGACCAAATACCACATTATTGTACCTCTAAAATATCACTTTAAATATGCAAAGGTAAAGATACTCAAAGTTGCACTTTATCATATTTAATCTCCCCAGTTTAGACAAGCAATCTAAAAGATGTCACACATTCCTGCTTAATACATTTTCCGGAATCTTTCAGATTATAATACTTTCAGGTAAAGAAATGTCAACTTTAAGTTTCTTTTCCAATCATCATATTTAAGTTAGCCATGAAATGCTGAATTAACAATTAATCCATACAATAATATAAAAATACATGTATTAAATCACAGTTTTAATCAATTGGAACTTAATAAAAATATTAAACATTTTAATGTATCATTTTGAAGAATTCAAATGGCCTGAACGTTGTATAGTGTCTAAATTATACCATCAATAGAAATGTTACATTTTTCCCTCTGCTTGCGAAAACGAGCTCATGCAAGTATTTGACACTCACGCTGACACAGAAGATCTGCCATTCTAAAGGTGCGCACGCAGCTCTCACTTTAAACATGACAACATGATTCGGAGGCATACAGTATGAGCTGAAACACCAGCTTTCACATGATTTCCATAAGCTCTGAGCCAAAACGATAATTTTGAGTGGTTTCAGGTATTAGACAAAGCAGATATTTAAAAAAAGTAATAGTCAATGAATGAACTAGCACAGGCTAGTTATCACTGCAGTTAGCTTAAAACTAGGATGATTTTTTTTTGTGGTACAATGAACACTATACTGTAAAATACAATGGGTTTGCAATACAGAGCAGATTATCCAAGTAGAAAGCAAACTGAACAAAACAGATTCTAGTAAAGGTGATCAACCTTACCTACTACTCATCTTAGCCCTTGTTAAAATACCCTGAGTAAAATGCAAATATTTTAAATAATGCTGGTTATATAAGACTTCTCTAAAAATGAACCATAAATGTCAATGCATCATGTTTATTTACAACAGTCAGAGATGTAAGAATTCGTTTTTAACCAGTCACAATAGAAACATTAAGGAATACTTATGTGAGATCTGGAAGTTTTCAGTTTTCTAGCTTTTGTTAGCATTTTGGCAAAGCAAGTAATACATAAATGGATTCAATGTAAAAAAAAAATCATAAAAGAGAAAAATATATAAAATTTACAGTAGTTTCAACCCACCCTGGGCCAACCTACATCCCTAGAAAGCCTCCCCAAGCAGGTTCACTTCTGACTAAAGGAAGAATACCAGTCCTCCAGCAAAAACAGCCCCATCTTTTCATCAAAGAGGCTCTCACTTCAATGATACTCCTCCAGGGGAAGAGGACAGGAGCCAGGTTCCCTCGAATGTCATTCCCCAGATGTTCAAAACGTAACTAATTTATTAGCATTAGAAGATTTGGTTTATAGGGGAATCTCACTGGTCCAGTTTGTAGCCTACAAAAAAATGGATTATTTTTAAGTATAACATTAGAAAATGCATAAAGGATGAGGATGTGGCTTTTTATTCCATAGAAATGGATACATTTCCAAACATGACAACTAAACAGAAAAGCATGCCTACCATTGAAGCTGTGGTCCCTCCTGATTTTTTAATGTTCTTGGAAGGCAGTCCATGAAGGCGACTGAGTCTAGCTTGGAAACCTGGAAAATCAAAGCACTCAATTTAGAAGATCCTACGATCATTATTCCCATCAATACAGAATTCAGAATAAGTTGGAAGCGGGAAATGTCTTTAACAGTAGTGGGGGAAATGCAAAACACACTTAAAAGATCTGAAGCAATGCCTAGTAGAGTTCTAATGAGGTTAGCACACAACTACTGATTATTTGAGAACTAGGGCATTATTCAGGGCTTTTCTTTCCTCCTAATTCATCTTTCTAGTATTTCAACATTTTCACAATGGTCCTAGCAAGAGAGCAAGTCAACCTTTCTAATAATTCAAATGCATGATAAATGTAGTAGCTGAACTACTATTCACCATGTTCCTTTACAGCATCTTGTGCTAGACTCTTTCATCTCCCTTTTAGCCTAATCTCTTAATGAGTGTGTGTGTGTGTATATATGTATACATATATGTATACACACACACACACACACACACACACACACACACACACACACACACACATATATATGTAAAAGCCCACAATATCTAGCAGTCAGGAAGCACCACTGACCTCTTCTTCCCGGATGTGACATAAGAGGGAAAGAACCAGTTAAGATACTTTCAAAGACAGGATCTGGTAAATTTTTGTCAAGCTCGGTAGGATCTTCCTTTTCCCACCAGGGCACGACCCCAGTGATGCCACATGCTCCACCTGATTCCTTCTCATAAAACCAGTCACTCTGCTCATCGTCACCTGTGCAAAAACAAGAAATCCCCCAAAGCTTCAGTTTTATTATCCAAATACACAGGGTTATCAGATTTAGGTTTCTAAAAAATACAAGACAGAAATTATATCTGAATTTCAGAGAAATGATTTTTAATATAAAGTACTTGCATAAAATTTTAGTATGTCTAAATACTGCATGGAACATACTTATACTAAAAAAATTATTTGTGATCTATCTAAAAATCAAATATAACCGGGGATCCTGTATTTTATCTGGCAATCATACACACGATCTATACACAAAACTTTTGATTCTACACCACAGCTATAGTGTTTTTTAACACTATAACAAGAACTTCCATCAACAAAAACATAAGCTGCTATGTTTTAGAACCAATTTAAATATGTGAAAAACAATAATACTGGTTAATTCTATGGCAAAAACTGTACAGAAATCCATTTAAGTTACTACCCTTTCCAAATTAAAGAAAAACAAGCCTTAATCTCCTGCCGGGAATTAAAAGTATAAAACTGTAGAACCCGTTCTCTGCAGCTGATAATGGTATATAATTAGCTTAATTTCATGATTTGTATGGAGTGTAAAAGGGGAAACAATCGTGAACAGATGTGACTAAATGAAATTAATCTGATTAAGTTCATTAAGAAATAGTTGTGAAAAAGTTGATTTTAAATGAAAAGTGACAGTACCACAGCATTGAGGAAGAAAGTGTGCTGGATTACTATAAGCAAGGTATTTTTAAAACAGAACACTATCCATACTAAGTTTGACTTTTGGGAACATCCATGAGTGTAAGTAACCATGGAGAAATGATCCATTTAAAATTCAGTTCAAAATGTACCCTTGATGCGAATCAACAGTATTTTGTTTTTAAAACAGGAATAATAGACATGTAAGTAGAAAGAACTACAGAAGGCAGATGGCTTTTAAAAGTAGGTGACAAACAGCATTTTGAACATGATCCCAGATTCATTCAAGTCTTTGTGTTTCTTAAAAAACTGCTAATTCTGGTTTTTAAGAGGGTCATCACAAATGCCATAAAGTTTTTTCCTTTACAGAAAGAGATTTCTGATTTCCAAAATCTCTTACTACAAATATTTTTAAAAGCAAACTAGAAAAAACCCAAAGCTTCAACTGAAAATGACTCTATGGAAAAACAGCCATACTTCAAATTACGAGGGCATGAAAATTTTAAAGCATTTGGAAAGCCAAAGCCACCAGTTTATTTCAACAGCGAATTTAATAAAAATTAATTTAAAAAAAGCCACATTTCAAAGTGCATAAATATTAGTACTTTTACTGAGAACTATAAATTAAAATTTCCCAGAGCAGGTATAAATACAAGAAAAAAAAAGGGAGTCACTTGAAACTGATTACCCAAGATCTTAATTCCAATTGAGACAACATTATAATAAAAAATGAGGTTATTTTATTTTGATGTGATGTACAACTTTGTTCTATTTAATAGGGAAATCCAGTAGCTACAGATGAAGAGCTTGAGTGCTGAAGTCAGACAGACCAATCAGAATTGGGATGTTTTGTAACTGGGAAGTTACCTCAACTTTATTAGACTGGGTTTCATCATCCGCCCAAAAAAAGAATCTCACAGGGTTTTCTTAAGAATAATAGAAGAGCAGAAGAGCCTGCGTGGTTCAGCTGGTTATGTGCCGACTTTGGCTCATGTCATGATCTCATGGCTCTTGTGAGTTCAAGCCCTGCACTGAGCTCTGTGCTGATAGCTCAGAGTCTGGAGCCTGCTTTGGATTCTGTCCCCCTCTCCCTTTGCCCCTCGGCCACTCACTTTCTGTCTCTGTCACTCAAAAATGAATGTTAAAAAAAATTTTTTTTAAAAAGAATAAGAGCCTAAAGTAAATTGAATGAAAAACAGCACTTAGAAATATAAAATATAAAAAGCTCATAATAAATGCTAGCACATTATTCTAAACCATTCAAAGCTTTTCCAAGATTGATGGACTTGTCCAAAGTTATTTTTTAAAGAAGTTTTTGATTTCATTTCATTACCAAATTCAACATTTGTAACTCTGGGTAGGCACATGTATTTAAATGAGAGTTTAGGTATATTATCAAGGCAGTTAAGCTCACTCTGAGCCCCGAAGTTCTAACGTATTTCAGCAAAGTCTCTTAACTTCAAAAAGTCTATGGTCTCTAAAACAGTATGTGCCTATTCATCTGGAATATATATGATTTATAAGAAAAAAATTAATGATAATTTATTTTATTCCTATTGTCAAGAGGAAGAAAAGACTAAGAAACGAATGTGTAGGCAGCTATTATTTTGTTCTTTTTTTTTTTGTATCATTAGACCATTTATAATTTAAAACAATAAATTTTGGTTTGGTCCCTTAGAACTTATTACTGCTTTGCTCTAAAGAGTCTCAAGAAAGGAAGTATTTGTGGTAAGTATTCGTAGATATTCCTTTTGCCTCTTATTGTCCTATTTTCTTCCCAAATGGGTAGTTTCAAAATAATGCCATGTTGAAGTGTGAAAAGCTTCAGGAAACTTTGAAGATGTGAAAGATCTAAGTTGTAAGACATTACTGTTTAACAGTTTACAATACTGAGTTCATGAAAGCTGTCTAATTACTTACAAACTGGATACGATGAATAAATGTCACGGCTGAATAAAAATGACAAATGACTTGCAAATCCATCTTTATTAATGCTTACACAGTATTAAATGCATTTGGAATCAGGTGGAGAATGAGAACCAGTGTCTTGTGAACTTGCTAAGAGACAAAATTGAAAAGACTGAGGTATGTAAAGCTTTCTTAAGGAAGATAATCCTTCCTTAATATTATTAGCCCCACATACTAGCTTTTGGAGATAATCAATTACGTTAGGTCATGAAGACAGGATACCCTTCATAGTATAAAAAAGAACTCAAGCCCAGTCCACTAAGCAGGTGTGTGTAAGGTAAAGGGATTGCAGTCATCAACCTAGGACATAACTAGCAATAAGCACAAACTTTCAAATGAAGACGTTTTTCCAAAGGAATAAAAAAAATAGATTTCAGTACCTTGCCTTCCCTCATCATTGGTAAATAAACCAGCATCGGTGCTGCTGAGACTGCTGGAATCACTGTAATAAGGGAGAAGAAAAAAAAAAAAAAAAAAAAAAAAAAAAAAAAAAAAAAAAAACAGATCAAAAGAACAATTGATCTCTCAGTCGTAAAATTTTAAAGAGACACGGCAGCTCAGAGATGAAACTTAAGCCTGACAAAGATCTGAAAGAAAATAAGATGATTTTTTTTTAATCAAACTGCAAATATTCTGGTTCCATTAACTACAGAGCATATTATTTTTGGCACATAAAACCACAGGAATCTAATGGGACCCTGACAGTAAGCCAGATGTGACTGCAACGAGGTGCTGACACAATTGATGCATTTTATTATCTGCTTTCATCAAATGCTCACTGCTCCTTTCTTATGCCGTGTGCAATTCAGCCTGAGCCCGGAACACCGCTGCTCAATAAAATGGGGAAAGTCTCAATCAAAAGCAGCCTAAGCCTTTCTTCAGCACATGAAATACAAGGGCCTGGGATGAAATTACTTTTCATAACCACATTTGCAAATATTCTGGAAAAGACATTACTTAAGAATTCACAACAACTCTATTACTTAGCACGGAAGAAAAAAGTTTACAACGGTAACAATCCATTAAGTCAAAGTTAAAATCCCTCTGAGCAAAACACTCAATATTGCCAATATTAAGGAGGGGGTATGTAAAAATAATATGTACCCCATACTTCCATAGAAGTTCAAGTATGATACAAAGGCAAATTTCACAAACAAATTAAAACAAATAGTAGATATTCGACTGACATGAATAAACTGTCACTATTAGTTCTAACAGAAGCAATGCTTATATGAAAATCTAGTTAGTTGAAAGACACAAAAACAAGATCATGTAATAACAGCCTTCTCCTCTAAAGAAAATTGATGATCTTCTTTAAAAATTCTCATATACTTCTTCTTCCTGTAATTTTTAATTTTAACCAATTAGGAAACTACCTCAGGTGAATTTTATACTTTTCCTGTTTACATGTATAACTCTATAACCTGACTTATTAAACAAAATTGATCTGTTTTAAAATATTTAAATTGAGAGTTCAGGATTAAAACCACAAATGAGATCTAAACCCAAATGTTTTCTGAATATAGAATATCATTTCAGTTGTTTTATTTATTAAAAATAAATAAAAACAAAAAGCATAAAATTTGTTAAGTGGCACATTTTACCAAGGAACTCTAAGTTGGTACCTTTTTCTTTAACTTTCTTCATTAGTGCTTTCCTGTCTGCCTATATCAACACATCCCTAATATGTGGCCTTATCATATATACCTTGAATCACAATTCTTTTTCTGAAATCCTTGAGGCAAAATGTATCTAAAATTCACAACTTCTCAAATTTTGGAAAGATATGTTCTAAAATGACTAAATGACTAATAAGGGTCTGGGGTAGCACTCCAGAATCAAACCTATTACTATATATTTTTTTCAATTGAATGAATATCCACATTAAATAGAGTTCAAGTTAGGTCTGGCCTCAAATGAATGATTTAGTTTTTCACAGCTTTCAGAATTCAGATTTAAAGATAAAGGATTGTGGATTGTGAAACTATGTGCTTTCTTTTCTTTCTTTCTCTCTTTTTTTTTTTTTTTTTTTTTTTTTTTTTTACAATAGTCTTCTCATTTCTGAGTTCAGATTTACCTCTTTTAAAATAGTCTACATCTAACCAGGCTCATCTTTTCCAAATAGAACTTGCTGACTAAAAATATTATGATATCTTGGATGGGATCCTGGAACCGAAAAAGAATATTAAAGAAAAACAAGGGAATTCTAATAAAGTATTGACTTTCATTAATAATGTGTCAACATTGGTTTATTGATTCTCACAAGTGTACCACAACAGGGGAAACTGGGTGCAGGATATATGGGAATAGGATATCCAGAAACTCTCTGTACTATCTTTGCAACTTGTCTATAAAACTAAAAGTATTCTAAAAGAAAATGTTTATAAAACACATGTGCATATCTATACATATACACATAAATTAAATAATAAAATGTTTTCTATTAAAAACCTAAAATTACTGCCCCATACTTTTTGGATTAAATATAGATTTCAAGGCTCCATATGGATGATCCCAACCTAAATTCTCCCTATCTCTTTTGTTTATGTTCTTTCTCCAAGTGGCATCCCAATCTTCTCTCTTCTCTCTCTGCCTGCTTACTCTTCTGAAATATATAAGGAAATCAGACTTCCCCCTCTGAGAGCAGCTCTTAGTCCCTAATGACCCTGGTCTTCATTTGGGATCTTTTTACATGTGTTTTAAACAACACGTTTCTTTATTTGTATTTCACCTCATTGACATCTAGCTAGTTGCTCTGAGTATACCATGTAGTTGTCAGCACGTCCGATAAATCAGCACAAGAACTTATATGGAAGCAGGGCTTTTCATTTTCAGCATCTGACAGCCATTATGGCTCATCTCCAAGGACACCTCTTCCCACTTTTTTTTTTCTTTTTTAAAGCATGACTTTTATAGCATGGTATTCAGAGAGAATATATCCCATGAATGCTGGTCAAATTTGTGTTTGTACACTAATCCCAATCCCCTGTGCCCCAATCTGTTCATTTCCCGTATTTTTGATCCTTGAAACAAGACATCATCTGAGAGTCCTCTTTCTCTTTTGTCCTCCCCAGTACAGTCAACCTTCCACTGATTCCAACTCTTAAAAGTGTTCTATTTTTTTTCCCTTTACTATCACTGCCATAATTCACCTCTCACTTAAGGATGGACTAGAGGTCAGTCAAAGCTAAAAAAACACTGTTACTGAGATCATGTTACCTTGAGAAAGTGTAAATCTAATTGAGTTTCTTTGTTGTTAAAATTCCTCCCATTACTTACCAGGCCTTTAAAACATGCTTACTGCTGTAGCCTCAACCCCCACTTTATGTTCTAGTCATAATGAACTACATGTACTTTACCAAATACATCCCACTTTGCTCCACAATCCATGCCTTAGCACTTGCTTAAATCATAGCTCCTTTTGGAAATCTTCCCTGACCAATACTTTCCGCTCAGCACACTTCGTTTTCATTGTTTGCTTGTCTGCTATTCTAAACTATGGGGCTGCAGGGAACAGGCACTGCCTTTATTTAGCAATCTTCCCACAGAAAAGAATATGCATCTGAGTGACAATAAAAATAGTTACACGGCTAAGTTTAAAATCAAAGAAAGAAATACTTAAAAAAATGATTCAGGAGTGAAAACATCCTCTTTGAAAATTGGTACCTGGGCTGTTGACTGCTGGGTAGACTGATTATATCTAATAGATACTCAAATATTTTTTACAGTGAAGAGAAATCAAGAGAGTTGCATCTCATTTTTCTTCCAGGGTTGATGTCTGTCAATAAAAGGCAGACATCAGTAAAAGGAGGGGCTTGAACAATCAATCCAAAAAGCTGTAATCTGTAAATAATCCAGAAATGAATACTTAGTCTCCACTACACATACGCTCTCTCCTAGCAACTGAGCAAGATAATCACTTTCAAGTCAAGCTTAGCAGTCCTCAGTCACAATGGCTCAATACTACCGTACAAATAATTTTCACTATGGTATTAAAATGCTGTCTTTTTTTTTTTTTTTTTTTTTTTTTTTTTTTTTGGAAGAAAAGCAGATACCATAAACTTCTCAAAGCCTTCCTGAAACATTTTTTTTGTTTTGAATAATTTTTACTTCCTTAGAAAAATAACATAAATAGCAAACCATCTCTAATAAAAGCCCCATCCTATAAATTTTACCAGATCCTATTCATGTTTGTAATCATATTTATAAGCAAATATATATGTATATACAAAATAATATGTATTATTAAATACATATATATGAAGTCCATGGTCTTCAGTCTACATGATTAAGATGAGGTTAGTCTTACAAATTAAAATCAAATACTCTTTCCCAGTAAGCAATGTTTTTTTTCTTTTCTGGATCATAGTTCTGAGTCTGGTTTTAAGAACATGCCTAAAAAGATGAACAATGTCAATACTTTCTCATTTCCTACAGTAGCATTTTCTGTGTAAAAGAAAAATGATCACTTACCTCTTGATGTTGTCAAAATAGTACTTAACAATTATCATGGTGGTATATCTGCTTTCTAGAATAGGTACATGAGACTAGCTGCCAAAGGATCATTGTTTTTCTCATTTGTCTAATGACAAGATCAAGTTTTTCTAGACTGTAAATTAGGTTTTACAATTCCTAAGTGATCAGAATTCCCAGTATTCCACAGACTTCTAAAAAGATCAAGCCATATCTGTTGAAGTGCTACCAATTTTTGGTTCTTAAGAATCAAAATAAACTGATGAATTGTGACACTAAAAAGCACCAAAGCTAAAGCTCTATAATTAAACAAATAATTACAAATCCAATTCTATGAGTTCTAAATGTGCTGTTATTCAAAAGTGCATTCTTCCCCATTGAAAATCCATTTCCTTTTCTCTTTATAGCTGAAAATTAAGTCTTTAAAACACAATGGAAAGACTTTGTTTAAATCAAATAAGCAATTTTGTTTTGTGTTAAACACCATAAATTATAAAGAAATGTAACGATGGTTAAACAGGAATATCACTATGATTATATTTTATATTATTATAATTTATAATTATTTTAAAATAGAATTAATTAAAATACAAAATACGTTCAAGCACAAACAATGGAGACACATATTTTTATAGTTAGAGAATATAAAAGTCACCTTTCACTCATGAGTTCGTCTGAGACTTTTTGCTCTTCGTAGTCCATTTTGTCCTTACTGGTCTGGCTTATTTCCTCACTTTCTAAAACTACTCCTTCATCTTGGATTTTTGGTCCTTGTCTAATTATTTTCAATTTCCTTTTTTTGACTTTGTTCTTGGTAAACTCTTGATATTGGTAAGCTCTATCACTGTCCATGTCCTGATCTCTACAACCTTCAAGGGGCTGGGTCATTGTCCGTTTGTTAGAGATGTCCTGTGGGAGGTCCACGGCCATGCGTTTTACCTTTCTCCTTCTGCGCAGAGTTCTGTTCCCAAGGTTGTCCACGGCAAAGTCAGATTCGTGCCACAGAGGTCTTTTTCCTCGTACATTATTATTTAAGTTTGATGATGGCCTGCGCTTAGCCACTAACATTTGGTCATCAGAGTCACTGTGATCTTTTTTATTATTATTGTGATTCTCTCTATAGTCCTTGCTTGGTTCCTCTAAACTAGAGTCAGAGCCTTCACTTAAGCAGTGACCAGTCTCCCATGGGTGGTGAACATTATATGATCTCCGTTTTCTCCCTCTCCTTTTCCTTGCCTGGCGTTTCAGAGGGCAAGATATACTTCGAGAATGATCTCCTGTTTCAGCAAATCCACCTCGAGCTTGCTCTGAGCTCTCCTCCAATGCTGAGACAAGATCATGAACCAGTTCTTCCATGGTTCGACTGAAATGCCTACATTTTCAAAAAAAAAGAAGAAAAAAAAATTAAAGAAAATAGTATTAACTGCATTAACCTAGTTTATTACAGCAGACAATTCACTCTAAATCTAAAATTAATAGTTATTATAAAGAAATGTTTAAAAGCTATTTAATTTTTCTATCCCAGATAGTTTCAAATATTCTGACTCATTTTAAGCTCCTTTTTCATATGTAAGTTCTTTTATTAAACATACAAATTACTTCAAGATAGAGTAAGCATAATATCAGCAATGAAAGATCCCAGTAATTTCCTATTTTTACTGTGTAATTATAGAAAAGTTATTTCTGCTTAAATCCCTGCTCATTAGTCTACTCCTGCCCTTTCCCTAGAGCCAGTTTTGCTAGAACAGATATGGAGAGAGCTTTCTCAAGCCTTCCTCCAACCACCCCTCCCCCACAGCAATTTCTAAGTGAAGAAGGAAACTGTACAATCCTCTACTCACCACACGCTCTACCCAGTCACCACCATGATATGTGAGGGAGATGGAAAGACTGACAGGTACTTTCAAGATTTGTAATATATGTGAAAGGAGAGTTTAACCAGACACTAGGCATATATTTAGGCCACACTAATCTCATAACTCAGTCAAGCAGAAACTGTTCATACTCAAACTGGAGGCTCACTGGTCTAAAATGGCCCATCATTTTTCTTATAATTCATTCTGAGACAGTCTCTTGGTATTTTTTAAATAAAAAGAAACAAACAAAAACCATTAAACTATGTTACCAGTGAGAAAATGATCTGCTTGTCAGCTAGGATAAGCATTCTTTACAGACTTTTATAAATTATATCGACACTTTCCAAACCCAACTCCCAAAGATTCTAGATCGGTTGGTGATGGAAAGCCCAAAATTCCAATTTTATTTTTTAAACAGTATAGTTAATTCAAACATGTATCTTTCTTATACAGATCATGAACAATCATTTCTGAGTCTCAGGAGGACCTAGGGATCAAAATATCCTCAACTACAGAGGTCTATATAACTTCTAAATCTACAGTAGGGGTAGGCACACTTTTCTCTAAAGGGACAAACAGTAAACTGTTAGACTTTGCAGTCTATTAGGTCTCTGTCATAGCCACTCAACTTTAGCCACTGTAAGGTGAAAATAGCCCTAGGCAATACATAAATGATGGCTGTGTTCTAATACAATTTTATTTACAAAACCAAGTGATGGCTGGCTATAGTTTGCTGACCCTGGTTTATACAGTCTCTACAGTCTATAATTTGAGGCATTTGCAAGTTCCTTATAATAATTTTTCATTTTGTGTTTTCATTTGAATAATCTGAAAACAAACATACATTTTAATTCAACTGGATTTACTACTTATAAGATGATTCACACATACAGCTTCTAACACAAGAACTTACTATGTGCTCGGCCCATTTTTAACTGTTTTATATGCATTACCTCATTTCATTCTCACATAATAACCTTATAAGGTGGTATATGAGACACAAAGAGACACAGACATTAAGAGCAATTTGCCCAAAGTGACACACCTAGAAAATGGTAGAAACAGGTTTCAAACTCCAGCAATCTGGTTCTAGAGCCTGAATGCTCAACCAACTGCAGCCAAGAAAGGGATTCTAGTACCACACAATTCCAGTATCCAGTTTGCATTTGTTTATGAGTGATGTAGCAGCAGGTGGTACTATTTTAATTTCTGAGACAGATTTAATATATATCTGCGTAAAGCCAAATGACTCACACTTAGCATTATATTCTTTTGAACAGAAAAGAGGAATGGGAGACCTGAATCAAGGGCAGTATAGGTGGTGGAAGTCAGTTGAATCCAAAGCCCCCGATGCTGTAGTCATCAGTGAAATGTACATTGTGAGCAATTAACTAAATGGACACAGTTTTTCATTAAAAAAAAAAAAAAATTATGTTTATTCATTTTTGAGAGACAGAGCACAAGCAGGGGTGGGACAGAGAGAGAGGGGGACACAGAATCTGAAGCAGGCTCCAGGCTCTGAGCTGTCAGCACAGAGCCTGACACAGGGCTTGAACTCACCAACGGTGAGATCATGACCTGAGCGGAAGCCGGATGCTCAACCGACTGAGCCACCCAGGCGCCCCGACATCGTCTTTCATTTAATGTGGGCATTGTATTTTCCTGATCTATCTCCTTTAGCATTCTGAATTAACATGGTGACTGAAGTATATATTTTAAATAAACTCTGGAAAGCCACTAAAAGGGTCCTATATATTACTCAGGTTTTAGAACCCTGCATTTGGTTATGAGAAATAGGTGTCACGTAGGAATTAGCATTAAGCCAAAAGAAGGGCTACAATTCTGACTATACTGATAAGCCAAATGGGTCTTTTCTCCATCATCTCTAGGTTAATAATCACATTTTTGTTTTCCCTTTATTGCAATAAATATTTTGTTCATTTCCTTGAATACTATTTCTTTGGAAGAAATGTAGTCTGAAAGACCTATGATCTCTGAATATAATATTGCACCTTTAATAAAATTCACTGGACGCCAGCTTAACGTGTACCAGAATAAGGACCTTTGTCTAAAAGAAGACTCGGTATCACCTGGTTCTTAAGTAACTTACTCTTTGGAGATGCAGTTTTCTCATCAATGGGTGAATGCCTAGGTCTAATTATTAATATGAAATTAACTCAATGCATGAATGTCATCTACAACTAAAGTTGCAGGTTATTTTGGAAGTAATAATCTAGTGCTTTACCACAAAAAGGAAATGTGGTGGACCTACCACCATTAGATAAAGATTAGCAATCAGATTCAATCCATTGAAACTTAAGTCTTCAATCAATTTCATTTAAAAAGAATTATTGTAACAAACAGCTTAAGAAAATAGAACCGGTATTACTAAGAATGAAAGCAAAATTTCTTGATAACATCACTAAAATTGTCACTTTACTTGACTTTGTATTGTTTTTCTCAAGAAAAAAAAAGACATTAAAAAAATTTTAGGGGCGCCGGGATGGCTCACTTGATTAAGTGTCCGACTTCGGCTTGGGTCATGATCTCACGGTTCATGGGTTCGAGCCCCGCGACGGGCTCTGTGCTGACAGCTTAGAGCCTGGAACCTGCTTTGGATTCTGTGTCTCCCTCTCTCTCTGCCCCTCCCCCACTCACTCACATATATAACAAACCAACATTAAAAAAAAAATTAAAAAAAAATTTATCCAGAGAACCCAATTTATTCCATGATGTCACTCAAATAGGGATCAGATACGAATGCCAATGAAGACATTTACTTTAAAAAGACTTTTTAAAAGCCTCACAACAACACAGAAGAAAATACGCAACATTCAGAGTTAAAATCACTTTTCCCCCCTTCAGTTTCAACTCACCAGACTCCCGCAAGTCAAAACCCTTGTTAATGAGCTAGTGATATTATAGTCAGTCACGCTGCTTCGCTTCTATCTCTCAGGGAAAACTGGCATCATCTGGCCTCACAGAAATCAAGTCATCATAAGAGACCACATAATCAATAGCTCATTTATTTCCTTTGCCTCGGCAGTTACATTGAAGACCATGGTATGGAAACACTTTATCTTCAAGATATTTTCTTAAATGAGACTTTTCCTATGGAAGAAAGAACCTGAAAATACAGAACTTTTCTGTACAAAAACGTGTTTATTAAGCATTCATAGCTGTAAAGTTTAATAACAGTAAAATTTAGTGAATTACCACTTAGCTAATTTGAATCACATTCATATTTATAAAACAATTTCTCTACATTTGAAATTCAATGGAAATGACATCTTTTGAGAATAGTTTGCGTTAGGTAGAGTATCTAAGATGACAGTTCACTAAGAGTTTTCTTCAAATACTCCAAATAAATAGAGTAAGATTATAGTCCCACTATCTATCTAAAGTGGGATTTTGAAAACGACATGACCTGAGCAGATAAGCATTTTGGTTTTTCGCAGGTGTACTGCATTATGCTGAGCAATATAAAACGTATGATCAACCCAAAATTTGATATGCCAGTTTTAGGTAAGAATTTTGCGCCAAGGGTTAAGGTTTTGTCAGTCTTCTTCTAGGCACTATTAAAACATCCAATAAAATGAGTAAATTGTTCTCCCTGGCTTTCTTAACACCAAATTCTAACTCAGACAAAGGCTTTCCTTAAAAACGTATGTTTGAGAGTGAGGATGGTCAATGAATGTAGAAACCTGGCGCTGAGTTTAGAGTTTTCTTTCAAATGTTTCTTGCTCAAGAAAGAAGACTCAGGACGTGGCCTTAGTCCAAACTCGATGCTCACATGTTCCCACAGGACTAGCAGTTGAATGATGAATCAAGGGCTCTCAAATAGCAGTCAACAATGTACAGGGAGGCACGGCAAAGAAGCCCAAGAAAGCCCAGAAAAACTGATCCCCCCAAAAACTGACAGTCAATTACTCCATCAGTGACTTTTCCTTTTTGGAGACTCTATTAGCAATAACTACTATTCCTAAGAGGATAAAATATAGCATGTACAGAAAAATTAGAGAATAATTTCCTTGCCTGGACACTGATAAAAATAACTACATAATAAGATGATAGACATGTGTGTCTTCATAAACCCAACAATTTCATTAAAAACAAACAAAAATCTTCCATATGTAACAAAAAAGTAACTGACCACAGCTATCAAATATCTAGGTAAGGAAAAAGAAATCAAATGCTCCTTATCACCTAATACATGGTAAAATTCTCCTCTTCATCTCTGTAAAACACAGGATTATCTCTTCTACAAACTTAAGTAACTCTAGCAGTGGAGTGCTAAAACTAATTCACCCACTGCTAAACACAACTACTTAATTGGCTTCTAGCAAGTTAAGGAAATAGCCATTTATTGTTAGTTTCTGCATGAATAAAAATTCAATGTGTACAAAAACAATGTAGGAGGAATACCTAGTCAAGAGCTATGCTGACGAATGTATGCTATGACTGATCACAAACTTAAGAAAATAGTCTTGGAATTACATGTTTTGATATTCATGTT